GCGTGATAACAGATTGGCCGGTAATTTGGGAACACTGTTCATCGGGCAACACGATTCCAATAGCATCATAACAGTTGGTTCTAGGAAACTTGGTATATTGGCCGTTTTGGATATCAATTCTTGTCGAAGAACTTCATCTTTCGTTTCATTAACACCATCCATAAACGCGGCAGCAAGAACATCAGCCATTTCAAGCACCAGATAAGGCGGCAGCGAAGGCATCGTGGTGCACAAGCTGAAACTATCATCTTGGAAATAAAGAACCCAAGTTGGACAGTACCAGGCTTGCCATTGCGAACATGTGATTTTACAACAGACTGAAGTACTCAGGTGGTTAACTGCATGAATGGTCGTTGCTTTACACCTAACTTGTGCGCTCACTAGCGTAAATCACCGCAAATTTTGCATAAAAGAAAATAAACAAGCAGTCTTTTTTTGAAAATGACCTAGCTGTTCAATGAGTAATTCTCCTGCCAAAAAATTAAGTGTCAGTACGTGGGAACTACGCATACTTGAAGGCTGAGTTTGAAATACTTGTGCTGTACTTGGACAAAGGACATTCCTCCAAAACTTCAGCTTTTCTGGTTCTCATGCTAGTAATTTTCACGCCACAACTTTCACATGCCAGTACGTGAGTAACATGCGTACCGATGGGCTGGGTTTGAAATCTTCAAATTGTACTTGGACGGGGAACATCCCCTCAAAATTTCAACCTTCCGGCTTTGTTGGTTGCCAAGTTAGCAATTTTCCCGACAAAACTTTCACATGCCTGCGCATGAAAGCCACGCACATCCAAATAACTTACTGCTCCAGAAGGATGCGAGCTGTTTTGAAGTAGCGAACCCGTTTTAGCATACACAGAGCATTCAGATACTTTATGCCACCAAAAATTTTCATTCGATCACAGAACTGCTCGATATCTGTTTCAAGCAGTGTATCATTTGAACAGCCACACTGTGCCAGCTTCTCGATATCACTCTTTGGAAACTGAAAATTAACGAAAATTTTAATTAAAATTAATGTCGCCGGCTTCTCCTCTGTTCATCTTCTACGCCTCTTCAATATAACAGTCACCAATACTGGGTTAAACCGGCAATTAGTCGTAAAGCAAATTTCAAAATTACCGAAGTTTCTAAGAAAGAAAAAAGAAAGCTTGCTGATTTTTAACAAAAAACCAGTAACTTCGAATCTTCGTTTGAACTGACTGCCCGTGTCATGTCGGAATATTCTAGAAAGAATGTTGCCCTGCGTCTAGAAGGGTGGACCAGGGTAGATAACTAAGACCCTCGCAGCCACTACTAACCTATGTTCGTCACTGTTTTGTTATTGTTGGTCAATGAACACTTACGAGAAGGCCATCGACACACACATCCCGCCCCTCTCCCTCCGCTCCTCACCC